ACACACACACACACACACACACACACACACACACACACACACACACACACATGCACACACACAGACACACACTTACACAACTATACACAGGCGTGCAAAGAAACAAATTTACATGGATGAGAGATTACACTTTCTCAAACACCAAGACAAGGTCGGTTATCGGCTTATGTTATAAATCAGTTCCTATTTAAAATTGATCTTTTTACCACAAACCAATAAATATTTACCAATATCTATTGTGAATTCACAATACTCGTTTAGTTATGTTTATTTTCAGAAATATTGTTCTTTACCTGACAAAACAGCATTTTGCAATTATTATGTTTCACTATGAATCTTTTTATTAGACGTGTTTGAGTGCATATTATGACAACACTAACATTTTATTCACGTCATAATCTAACGGCTTGTGTTTGGCATGTCTTTATTCTTATCTCATATCATTGGCACTTTCCTAGATTTCATTATTTTTGCATACTATTAACTCATTTGCACGAACAATAACCTAGTCTGTCTTTCACTAATCAACAGTATTGTAAGAAAAATAAAAACAAACGAGGGTTCTTTCATTATTTTATTTGTACCTTTAAACAATTATCATTTCGTGTGTCATTTTCTTCTTCTCTTCATTATGCATCGTAAATTTCATTTTTTTTCTCTCTTTCAATTCTTTTTGCTTCCAATCATGTACCATCTGTGTTGGTGTGTTTGTTCTCCAGAACTTCATCCATTTTTAACAGGCTTTGCTGCTCGTTAAAGAAAAAAGAGAATACACTTGACATTTGAATTGTAGTAGGGCCACTTTTTCATCCAAGTTCTAGAAAATATCCCTTCAGCCGTATCATTCCCGGGAATCAAGTGTTCCGCATTCTAGGCAAAGTACCATGTGTGTAGTAGGTCGAATATCTTCAACGGCGTCCTATATTATGATAATAGTGGTATTATATATAATTTGACATAGTGAACTCTTGAGTTTTTGGATTTGATTTTTTTTTCCAAATGTCGTTGCCCAATAGGAAGGCAACAGCCAAAAACGAAGATCAGCGTTACAGGCTTTTATAAAAACATGTTCTGAGAACAATACGTTTGAAGTCATGTAATTAACACACAATAATGTTGCTGACGCAAAGGAAGCAACAGACAACTAGATTAGCACAAAACACAGCTGTGCCAGTCTAAGAGAAACGCCAGAAAGGTCAGCAAAGATCAACACGTCTCGCTTCTTGATATCCCTAGGCAAGCACTCGTTTTATAATAGTTATTATTATTGCTTGGAAATATTGTCTAAACTGAGTTCCCCTACATTCAATTCGCTTTTGTCCCAGTTGGAGACTGCTCCACCAGTCTATTACAATGCGGCGTACAGCCAGTAAGAATCATTACAAATAGAAAGGAAACATGGTGGATCTCGTTTTCTGACGCGCAGTTCAACACGCAAGCATCACCAATTATGTTTCCAATAATGTCAATGGCCAACGCAATAAGCTCACTAGAAAAACAGAATAAAAGGAAATAAAAGTAAACATTATGTCCTTTTGTTACGACGTCCGGGTCTAAATTCAACGATTAACTTAATGCTAATTGCCTTTGAAGAAAGGAAACAGCAATACATCTCCTGGGGCGGGGGTGGGGGTGGGAGGTTGGCATTAGAGTATACACTACACTTCATCATAAACGCCAATGGCCACCACGATAAAAACCAAAAGGAAGCAGAAGTATTTATGTCCTCTTTTTCCGATGTAAGTGTTTACTTACACTCAGACATGACCGATGTATTTCACGTCTTCCCGTGTAGGAGTCCCATAGGATGTTGGATGATGATGCTCTGGTATTGAGTGACGCCATTGCTTCAGTGACGAACGCCAAGCAGGATCCTGAGGTGAGTCTCAATGGAGTGGGCAAACTTCAGAAAAACGCTCGCTGCGTGGACCGATAAAGTCAAACAGAAGTAACCATCTTCATTATTTTTTAAACAGTGAATCATGGCGCGCCCTCAACTTGAATCCCAAACAGGGACTTCTAAACTTGCGTTGTTTGGAAGGAGTTTGAGACTCTCCACACATTTGGGTGACTCCTGTCGGAGAAAGGGGTTATAGTTGAAGGTCCTGCCCCTTAGATAACCAAATTATGGTGTTGAAAGGGGCGTTAAGCGTAAAAATTTCAAAAATTTCAGAATGTGAATAAGAATTGATTTGGCATTTGAAAGCCATCTCTATGTTTGCGACGTAATAAGCGTACACGTAGGATGTCGTGATAGAGAATGATATCACTTGGCTTAAAATACTGATCTTCCTCAAGTGTGCATGTTTAGTAAACATTGCATTCCCAATAAATAATATTGAATCGATTCTTCATTGTTGTCAGGGTGTAACTCTTAGACTCTTCGTTGGTGCACGTGAAAGACGTGAGTTTAATCTTTGAGTAGAAAAGTCTTTGCATACAATATATCCGTCAGTCTGCAGCTATGTCGCATCTTGTTCAGCCCAGTTAGAGGCCAGACGAGAGCAGCCCGCCTCCTAAACGATTTTAATTGTGTCGACGGAGACGTGACACATTGAGATTTGAAATGAAGGTAAAATGTATACACTTTTCGAAGCGCAGTCTTTCTGGCAGCCCCCTTTCTGAAAGTACACGTAGTTCTCTGCTGCACAATGCGTCCTGCATAGGTATCGCTTCGCATTAAGAGGTAACCTTGTGATGGGGTTATGAAGCTGTATGTAAAGTGTGTAAAGATACAGGGTAAAGGCGGACATCAGTGTTGAAATGGCATTATGATTTACAAGTGAGGTTTGTATCTAAAATTAGACTGATCATCTGCCTGTGTTGATATTTCAAAATGTCAATAAGAATCACCGCTGCCCAAAATTACATGGAATTGGAGGCGTTTAACGACCTTATCTACACAATTTAGATTATTTAGGAGGCGGGTTACTCTGCTCCAGTATTCATGACCAACATGGGCTCAGAGAGATACAACGTCCCAGTAGACAGATGGACACTCGATAAAGTTTTTCCTACTCGAGTATTGATCTTTTGCATGCAAAGGAGAACCGCCTAACCACTAAACCAGAATTGCCTTTTACCGCAGATGATACTCTAGGGCTTTTATGACACTACAGGACCTTTGTAAAGAACGTTTTATTTCCGCATCTTACACGCTATTACCATACTAACTGCATTCATCTGATTATTCCATTCATAGTTATTGAATGTACATGTATTATCATGCATTTTCTCAAAGCCACATGGAGTTCCAGCCAATAATTAGCTGGATTTTCGGTGTTGTTCTGCCCCTTGATTATGTACCCTCTAGAGACACTCGTTTCCTGCACAATAACTGACAGACCTGGGGATACACCGAGACACAGCAATAGTTTACACAACATAGGCGTAACTGTAATCATTATGATTTCAATTATGAATGTTTTACACCCGCATCAACACCCTGTTGACCATTTAGGAAGGGAGGATGCTCCAACCTTGCTTGTTAGTGCAACTGTACTGAGAGGGATAAACGTCCCAGCAGAAAAGAAGGAGATATTCAATTAAGAAGCTCTGCACACAAGTGTCGAACTCACGTCTTCTGCATACAGCAATACAAACTCCAAAACAGTTACAGCACAGAAACGGAGATGAAATTTGTTTATTGCAATGAACACCAGCACGAAACAAGATGAGCACGAATTAACTCTGGTCAGAAGTGTACCGCAAATTAATGTCATGTAGGGACAAAACTGTACCGCAGAAGTAGTTTCCGAGGATGTTGCATGTCCTGAGCACGAAGATCATATACGTGGTATGGAACTGATAATCAACCAATTGAATGGGAGGAGGGAGGTCTGTGTATGCCTGTTTCTTTTCTGCTTGCCAGTTACCTTTGCGTCTGTTCTTCGCCTTTGTGTAGCGTTTAATTACCTTCTCTATTCTATTGCTATGTTTTTGTTTGGTTTTAGTTGTTGTTTTTTTTAAATCGTCTTTCTTCTATTTTCTTGTCTTAGAACAAGGAGAACGGCATTGAAGGAGACAACCCGAGCGGCTTGCAGGTGTCCACCTTGCCCAGTTTCAGCTTCAGTGTCCGTCCCCCTAGCGAGGAACAGTCCAGGTCTGAGGAGGCTGCTAGTGGTATGTATCCCTCCCTCCCTCCCTCCCTCTCTCTATCTCTCTCTTTTACCCGTGTCTTAGCATGTTCGTTTCCCGGATTGCATAGTGAGTTACATAGACATATAGTTGTGTAGTACGTTCATTCATGCTTTAGCCAGATAACCCACATTACCGGTTTTCTATAGCCTTAAACTACTATTTTGGTGATGATTATAATGATGGTGATGAAGTAGGCAAGTATTCATTTTCTTTTTGAATCCTTTGTTGGTGAATAGCATTATTATTCTTTTTTATTTTCATCCCTTAACTGAAAGGATTTTTGTGGCGGTCTTTATTATTTGAAATGTGGGTTACCTGGTTTTCATACTTTGGGTGGCAGATTGGCAGATTTCTGTTATGTTTGTTTTCATAAGCAGCAACGCTTTCCTGTAAAGTAGACAAAGAATCCATGCTGTAGGCGTGAGTAAAGCTAGCGTAGTGCCAGTAGTGTGTGACTGACGGCGCTTTCTTGCCACTGAGAGATTGTTTCCTCCTTTCAACCCCCACCCCCACCGGCCCCCGCTCTCTAGGTATATCCCCAGTAAACGCGTCTCTCACGATCGAGGGCGTGCCCTCCTGGTCGTCCATGGACAGCAACCGTCTCGCCATCACTCCCAGCATGACAGCCAGCTCTTCACCCAACTCGGAGAGAAGTGTCCGAATCTCCTCCCCGCCCATCCGGAGAGCACCCAGCCCTTATCTTCTGAGTCTGCAGTCAGGAGGCTCCCAACAGCGCCGGCCGTTGGTCAAGCAATACAGTATGGATGTGGGTTCGGATCCACAGCTCAACAACCTCAACCTCAACCCTGGCCCCACCGACAGCTGGGACAAAATGAAGGAGCCGCCGCGGCCCAAGCTTATAGGAGGGGAAACCAACATGTCCAGATCACAGCCTTCGCTGCAACTCAAGGACTTGAAGAGCGCCTCAATGGAGCACAAGAACAGCTCTCTCGACCTGAAAGACGTCCCAGCAGCCGGTGATCGTCTTCCCGCTAGAGACAGAATCAAGCACAGGTTACTGCGGAGCCGCAGTAGTGGCGCTAAATATAGCCGCTTCCGTGACAAGTACAAGCAGAGTAACCTGAACAAAGCAGCCAATCAAAACAATTCGGACACAAATTTGGCCAAGGATAAACTACGTAAGACACAAGGAACGGGTAGCACGGAGACAGGCTCAGACATGGACGACTCGCCGTTCAGTGACTGGGGAAGTGAGGAAGCGGCATGCGATGAGGAGGTAAGGCAGTTCTGCTTTCTGCAGCCCTCTCTTTTAATTTTATTTTTGCTGCTGCACGTGTTTCTAATGCATTATGTCTCTGAATTTCTTTTTCGTTGCGCTATACTTAGAGTTACTAAAATTGATATCAATATGTTGAGTTATGGTCCTCGGCCAGAATGAGCTATGATAACCCTTTGTCCGATAAAATAACGGTAAGGACAGTGAACAAGTTGAAGGCGCATAACACAAACTGAATCTATGTTTCATACGTTGTATAGTGAAGCCCACATAAAGTAAACTCAACTTAATGTGCATTTTGAAAACAGTTTCTCCTTTAAAACAGCAGATAATGTCATTGTAATATTAAAAGATAGAAACATTGGGTAAAGTAGGATTTATTCAAAGAATCACTAGGTAGGTAACATCCATTGCTAACTATCCGTCATTTGAGCTAACGCATTTCAAAAACTAGGCTTTTTTGTCACTATTTAGATACATCTATCTTTTGTGTGCCTCTGTTTACGTTGAAAAGATCATTTTGTTCCAATGATGTTACTGCATTATGCTCAGTGTAATATGCATGTTGAGATAAGACAGCTTGAGATAAAGCAGCCTGTGTAAATATAAACTTTAGTCGTGAATTGATCTTATTTATGAGGTTAAGTTTTAAAATTCAGTCAAATGTTCATAAATTACAAACATAAGTAGACATTCACTAAGGATAATATGATAGTAAGATCCTACTCATCAACTACATGCATTTACACGCACAGTCACACGCACACCACCCCTCCCCCCAACACATTCACACACACACACACACACACACACACACACACACACACACACACACACACACACACACACT